CTCTCCCCGACAGCCTGCCCTTTACAACTCTCCTGACCAAGAGCCACCCAGCCCAGTGTGAGAGCAGCCACTGCACAAGCCCGTGTCCGAGCGGAGCCCCGTCACCCCCGCCTGGTGAGTGTGTTTGTGTCCCCATGCTGCCTGCTGAGTCCCTGGACACAGTCTTCCCACCAGCAAAGCTGGCTCACAGAGAGCAACCATAATGGTGGCAATTAGTGCTGATGAGGGCATATTTGAAACTGTGCTCCACTGTCAGCATCTGTGAGTGGTATTCAATAAATTAATTCTAGGAAGCGGCAAACTCCCGGCTGGGTAATGAAGGTGTAAATGAATAATAGTGCTTAACATGTTTTCTGTGTCCGCTCTTGTTTCACACCTCTCAGGGATGTTTTCGAAATGGGCACTGTCGCGTCCTAGCCGGTGAGACCACGCCGACCGCTGGCTCCAAGCTCAGGGCATCCTTGTCCGTCTCACCCTCTCTGCACAGAGAACAAACCGTCCCCGGAATGAGGAAGGCAGAGGGATTCTGAGACACAAGGTTGCAGCCTCTGAGCTCACAGTCACCCCTGTGTCCATCAGAAAGCGTCGGCACTGTCTTCAGAAAGAATATCAGCACCAAAGCGGCGCTGACTGACCTGCACCTACTTTAGACCCAAAGGGACAGGCGGGGGCCCAGGACGATGGTTTCAAACCCTGTAAATCATATGTAAAGTGACAGTTTCCATCATGATAGACACACACGCATACACATATGAATGCCTCCAACCATGCTTAAAGTTTCACCTGGAGGGGTTCTGTTTCCTACGCTCTTAGCCTCTGTTCTGTAGCTCCACTTCATCCCCTGCATTCCGATGTGGTTTTTTTCCTTTAAACCACGCACTGAATGCCTCTCACCTCCCTACTTGGAATGTGGAAAGCGCCAGCCGGCGGCTCACTGCAGTCGCGCCTCCGCTGTAGGCGGAATCTGCTTTCAGCAAAGTTAAAACTCTGTCATGTCCTTGGGACGCCTATCTCGGGAGAGTCTGGTGGCGGAGGGGGCTTGGCTGGCCCTGGAGTTTGGGGTCCGGTGAGCCTCTCCTTCAGTCTTGGGGCCCGCAGTCATTGGAAGGTTTGGGATCACACAGGAGCAGTGTAGTGAGCTCACTGGGTGGACAACATGTGATCACATCCCTGGGGCATCCGCCTTGGAGAGCAGGGGGAAGGGGGCCCTCTCTTGTTTAAGGTCCATGCTTTCTTAACAGCTTGTTAAGATGTTTATAAAATAACCCCTCATTCACCCCAAACACTGTTGAACGTCTACTCTGGTCAAAGGGCCTCCTAGTGTTCAAAATTCTAAGAGGCTGTGAATAATTTCACACTTTGGCCCCCCTTGGTGAGTCAAGTCACACACCAGTGCCTGTCCGTGCCCGAGACCCCAGCCCTAAGGGTTCCCCTCGTACTTCCTTCATTGTCCACGTCTGCATCCCTAGCTCCTCCTCGGTAGTAAAAACTAGCGCATCCTTCTCTGGGTACCTAAAGTCGATGCTCTGTGACAAAATATATTCCGAAGCGTTGAAAACAGTCATCCAGACTTTGAGTGGATAATCCAAGAAATTCTACCGCGAGAGGAGTGGAGGAGCTGCAGGTCCCTGTGCGGCGTCCCGGCACACACACTCTCAGCGGTTTCAAACTGTGGACTCGAGGCCTTCATAAATCAGAAGAAGAGAAATAATTTCTTGGAGGCACCTGGTTACTTTCAGCCCAGGAAATAATTAGGGCGGCTACTGCAGGATGTCTTTGGTTCACTTCCTCCTAAAAAATCCTTAACTGATGACTTCAAACGTTCTCTTAGTGATTGCAGCTTCCTGCTGATTAGCAGCTGCAGTCATCGCTGTCTCCGACGGGGAAAACGGGAGAGCAGGACAGACCACAGCCAGCCCAGCACCCGGAGCATTCGGCATCCATCCGAGGGGCTCGTCGCTGCCTGTGCAGCTTCACCCCAGCCTGGCTTCACCCCCTCTCACTCCTCGCCCTGTGGGCCGCCACCGTTCCCGGGACCCAGTGTGGCCATGCCTCGCTCGCCCGCCCAGGCCTCGGCTCCATGCTTCTGCACGCGTGGTCTCTCCTGGAGCCCGCACCTCATGGCCTTGCTCCTCAGTGGGCACTGGGGGTGACCTGTGTCCTCCAAATGCTGTGTCTGAGTCTTGACCCTGGCACCTGTGCATGACTTATGGAAATGGGGACTTGGGGGTGTCATTAATTCCGACCTAAGGATGCAGGCAGCCCATGTTTTCCCTCGCTTCTGTACTTTCTAATTCCAGTCACAGGCCCGGTAAAGCACAACAGGCCGTGCTGGGGATGGAGTCTAAGCTGGAGGAGGAGGCCTGTGTGTAAGGCGCTCTGACCTCACGCGCTGTGTAGTTCCGCTCTCATCGCCTGACCCCACGGTGACACCTGAACGCAGAACTGCTCGGCTTCCTCCCAAGCACCGAACAGGTGGAGACACGAGGGTTCAGCTGCTGCCTCTGTGTCCTCCCCCGCCTCTCCTGACACCCAGGGAGCCTTGTGTACTCTTTAGATGCAGCTCAGCACATAACATCCAGACCTTCCCTGACCCTGCCCCAGTGAGGCCAGGAGCCCGCCCTTTGTGACCCGAGGTTCACTGCACACCCGTCGATCCTGCACAAGGAAGCAGGGGCACTGCGACCTTGAGCAGCTCTTCCTTTGGCACGCACTGCCGGCTCTCTGCCCGTACCCCTCCCTTCCTCCTCCCCAGGGATCCGATTCTGTAGAGTGTGGCAGGTGATGGTGACTGCCCTGTCAGTCCTTTCCTTTGGAGCATTCGCCATCACCCTGTCTGCTCCAGAGGCGGAGCTCTCCAGCTTCAGGCCGCTTACACCCACAGGGCCACCTTCTCTGTTTCCCCTTTCTTGACCAGGTATGGGACGGTGATGACGAAGATGCCAAAATAAGGTTCTTATTTTGAGCCTGGTGCATTGGTCTGCATACCTGCTGGCCCCAAGATGTCCACGGAGGACCTGTTCCCCGAATTGGGGTCTCAGTACCTCAGAGGACTGTGTAGATGCCAAAATAATCTTGGTAAATAAAAGAAAAAAGACTTTCAAGAATAGTACGATCAATCAGCAATAAACGAGACATACAGCCCAACTCTGGCTTGAATCCCAAAGTAAGGTTTGGGATGGATGCCGCCCGGGACGCTGCCAGCTTGCGAGCCGCTACCTCGTGACACTCACGCTCATGGAGACACACGTACCAGATCTTCAAATCACCAGCAAGTGAGGGACCCTGGCGTGTACACAGCAGGGTGGAACATCCCTGCCAAACACCTCCCGGAAAGCACAGCTCCGGCACCTGGCTCAGCACTCACCAAAATGGAGCGCTCCCTGACTGACCTGGGCCTGGACAGAAGCCGGTCTCAGACGACAGTTCTCCCTCTGGGTGACAACACAGGGCTTCTCATCCCCGCAAAAGGGCAGTGCTGACAGGTGACACTCGCTGAACACTTACTGTCTGCCCGACCTGAGTTACCCGCGTCTCCCGCCATGCCCAGGTGAGAAGCCTAGGGCTCTGAGGTGGGTGCACCTTCACCCCACTTTCCGCACGAGCAAACCGAACTCAGGCAGGAGAAGTCGTGCTCCCTGTGTTTGCAGAGCAGGGTGCAGCGGATCTGACGCCTTCCCTCGGGCGGGCTGGCTGCGTGCGTGGTGCGAGCTCAGGATGGGCCGGCTGTGCGCCCAGAGCCCTGGCTCAGCCCGGAATGCTCAGCTTCTCCGCTGCAAAGCGGGGCCTGAAGGGGCCTCTTCAGGGCCCGTGTGCGGACTTCAGAGGGATCAGTGAACCGCAGAGGCCTCTCAGGGCCTCATCATCATCAGCACCCCGTTATCATCATCATCGCCGATGACGGCGGCGTCTCATAGCCTGCCTGTTTCCCAATAACTCCGTCTCAGAGGGCAAATGACGGCCACCCGCTCTCCCCCTCTCCAGGCACTGATTGGGCCATGGGCTCACGGACACGGGAGCTGTAACTTGCTCCCTTGGAGTCCACTTTCCAGACATCCGGCTCTGCTTTGACTAGAACACCTGCCTCGTCTCTTGAATGCGAGACAACAAACACAGCTACCTGAAAGCAGTGAGTGGAAAACACGTCTGCACATCACAGGATCATTTCGCAGGAAGGCGAGCTCGACCCTCCATGGCCAGCAGTGAGGTCGCTCCCCGGGTCTCATGGGAGCACACCCTCTGCATCTGGGCCCGCCCCACCGAGCGCAGCCTCCCAGGAGCCGCTGATATTTACCTGAAGTGATTACTGCTGGTCAGGAACCAGGCCCATCAGAGATTCTTTAATCTCCCCCCTGAGCCCACGAGGGCCGTCAGCATCGCTGCTATTTCGCAGATGCAGAAACGCAGACGCAGGGAGTTTACAGGACGCAGGGAATGCCCGAGATGGGCATCTGCTCCCTCCTTACCGGACCTGGTCTCGCCTCCAGCACGCTTGTCCCCGGAGGTGGCACTCACAGCCCTGAGTGGCCTCGCTTCCAGGGCAGTTCCCTGGCACTCAGACTGGACCACACAGGCTCTGGCCAACTTGCAAAGCGGAGCGACGTCAGCCCTGCGCTGTCCCCTGCAGCTGTGCCGATGGGGACCCGCAGGGGCACCCGGCCAAGGAGATACCAGTGGGGACAAACTGTGCCCTGGGTACTCTTGCCAAGCCCCGCCCTGGCTGGGTGAAGAACTTCCTGTCTGGCTCGGGCAGTCTGGATGAAGCAGCTTTTTCTGATGCACACAGCGCGGCTGTGTAGATAGCAGGAGTCTGAGCATGACCTTTGTCACATGACCTCCCTGACCTCTGACGTCCAAGAAACAGCCAGTGCTGCTGTCTGACGGCAAAGTGGGCCCGGGCTTTGAGTGCTGGGATAAATCTACTACATTTCCTAGTAGCCACATTAAAAAGTCAAAGAGGAAACAGCTGAAATTAATAACACATTTTATTTAACCCAAGATATCCAAAATATTATCATTTCAACATGTAATCACTGCATAAGTTATTTGTGTGGCTTTGAACATTCTTCTTTCGTGCTCTGGCTTTGGGATGCAATGGGTGTTTCATGCTTGCCGCGCGTCAAAACTTGGCCTGGCCCACTTTGGGGCCCCGGTGGTCCACGTGGTGCTGCGACGGGCAGGGTGGGTCCAGACACCCTGGCAGCTGGGGAGGGGCTGGAGAACTCAGGCTGAGCTGGGGCTTGGAATGGACCCAACTTGGGGCGTAGAATGGGGCTGTCGTTAATCCGTACCTCAATACTGCCGCCCACACACACCAGAAAAACCAGCTTTCTTTCCCAAAGACGACCATCATGCGAGCCTAGACCCGGAGATCACACATTTAGAATCTGGAGCCCAAAAACTGTGCTCCAAGAAGGGATACCTGACTCGGTGTGAGCGGGCGGCTGACCTCTGTCCCCACCAAAATCTCCAGGGGTCTGGACCTCACATACCTTGCTGAACTCACACCTGAGCCGTGGCGGCCCCAGGCACACTGGCTGCCTTGGCCGCGGCTCCGGGGCCTGGACCTCGTCTCCCATCGCAGAGGTTTCTCAGGTTAGGACGCTTCTCCACGGCTGGCTCCATCTGTTCATTCTGATCCCAGCTCTGAGAAGCCCTTCCTCAGTCTCACTGTGAAGGAGGGTTAAACCAGGGCCTCCTCTAGGCACAAGCCAGATGCCCACGTGGCTTCCTAAGCCCTGCCTGGACTTCCCCGAACCTGCCCTCATTTCTGTGCAGTGGCTTAGTTTCAGTCTCTGTCTGTAGGAACCGTCTAAAATGCTTTCTGTTCAATCCCACATTTTTAGGGAGGCTTCAGGGAGCTGAGGGAGGGAGCTGCTGGCGGGAGGGGCTCTTTCTCTGTTCTCGGGGACTGGGCCCCACCGCCATCACACAAGAGAGACAAAGGCAGTTTCATTGTCCTGTTACTGAGAGGTTGGACCCAGGGAACCGTCAGACGCTCTGTGATCCAGGGATATGAGAACCCGCATCCAGCTGAGAAGTCACAGTGTCTCCAGGGGTGGCCACACGCTCTGGTGACAATCGGTGCCCTTAAGAGAAATCCCAGGGGGTCAGTGAAGGGAGGCCCGCTGAAGGCAGCGTGGGCCGTGGTCTGGAGGGGGTGGTGATGCTGGGGGGCATCCCTCAGAAGATGGGAAGTGTGGGCACCTCCGCAAGGGAGGCTGAGGCGGCAGGGGCCGAGGGGACGTCTGGGTAGGGCTGGTCGGAGGAAGGAAAGCTGCACACACAATGTGAAGTGCCCCCTCATCCCCCGAGGCGCGGCTAAGCCCGGCCCGCCCCTCCCAGCCCAGCGACCCACATTCTGCCTGTGTGAGCCCGGCCAGGGGAAGCGCATTCACGTCGCCTTCCGAAACACCATCTCGGCAACAAAGCGGGCAATGTGTTTCATCTCGGCCCGCAGGCCCAGCTGACTTTACAGCGGTGGGTGGCTTTCCAACCTAACATTTGATCAAAATGAAAAAGTGGCAATTCCTTTCACCCCGTGACAAGCCCGCGCGTATAAATCACAGCCTCGCCGGGGAGGGCTTCTCGGCGCACAATCGACCTGGCAGCCTGGCCACCTCCCTGCCCATCTGGACAAAGGGGGCTGGGAGCTTTCAAGGGGCCAGGAGTTTTTAAAGGCCCCTTGTAAAACCGAACTGCAGACACCATCCGGAGCTGGCCGCGGGGGAGGGGCGGCTCAGCGCGGAGATTTGCATTTTATTTGGTTGGAGCTCAGTGGGAAAGGCAGGCCCTGCGCTGCACTGCAGGCCGGGGTGCTGGCCTCCCCAGGCTCCAGAGCGAGCATGCTTTGCAGTTCTCCGAAGAGCAAATTCAGAGAGGCGAATCTGGATGGGGAGGAAGTGCAGGGCCCATGGTGTTTAAACGAGGAAGTCACTTGGGGATGAACTGTCACAACACTCTCCGGCCAGTTACCAGCAGGAGCCTCGCGCTTGGCTTGGCGTCTGATAGTCTGGGATGCAACCGTGGCGGCCACAGCGAACATTCCCGTTGCGGGTTCACAGAGCGCTGCAGCCTGACGTGCAGATGTGTTTGCCCCTGTCCTGCTCGCCTTCCAGGACAGTGACACCGTGGGACCCTCGGGCAACCCACCGGCACCTGGAGACACGGATGGCTCTCTCTGGGGACAAACATCAGGGTGCCAGAGGGAATCAGAGGATCCCAGGGCACCGGACTGGCCAGGGTCTCCTCAGAGACCTCCTTCACAGCTGCCAGTGGCTTCCCCTCTGGGAACACAGGGCCTGGCTTCTGCTGGTCCCAGGGACATGTTACAGACAGGAAGGAGGAGGAGGAGGTGGGGAGGGGAGATGAGGGAGGATGGGGAGGGCTGGGAGGAGGAGGAGGGAGGGAGCCACTGGGAGAAGGGCTCATCTCTTCACCTCCACCAGAACCTGGGTGTGTGGGGCCAGTGGGCTTCTACAGTTGGGGTGCACAACCCTGGGCTGTGACAGTGCACTCCAGGGGTTTTGGGGAGCCAAGAACAGGTCAGTTGCACATAGAAGGGCTCTCTGCCAGCCTGGCCAGTGATGGCTCTGTGTGTGTGTGTGTGTGTGTGTGTGTTTGTGTGTGTGTGTGTAGGACCTCAGGCTCTAATTTTCAAATGCTGTGAACTGATTCCTAATTATAATGTTTTAATCACAGGTTCCCAGACCCTGGGTCGGGAGCCCCTACTTTGCAGTCGCCGGTTTACGGTGTCACTGCTCCTCCCCCTGTTCTCCAGCGGGGCACCCCTAACGCTGCTTCTCCAGGTCCCCCTCCACGCAGGCTCCTGGCTCCCAGCAAGGGCTGCTCCTCCGCAGTGTCGGGGTGGTGATGGAGTGTGCCGCTCTCCACCTGCCCCCCAAAATGGGGGCAGGTTCACAAATCAGGGACTCAGCTGATTACTCCTCCTTGCCCCTCCCCAAGCCCAGCAGAGGGTCTGACATCTGGTGTCCACCCTGGCCCTGACCACGCCCTCCCTGTGCCAAGCACAAGGTGACCCTCTCCAGGGCCACTCACCCATGCCCGCTGCGGGGCTGTGGGACGCACTGGTTCCTCCAGAGTAACTATCCCAGCAAGTGAAATATACAAAGAATCCACTTCAAACGGGGAGTAAAAATAGTTGAAGTGGGGTAGGTTGGAAGCTTTGATTGGGACTTTCTTTGGAAAAGTGAATGTTATGAAAATACATCTGATCCGCCTTTTAACACTGTGTGGGTTTTAATTAAAACCACACGGTCACTTTTAGAATACACAGCAAATGAAATGAATGTTATTTTCACTGAAAAAAAAGAAAATGGCAATCAGACCTCTCCTTACAAGGCTGAGACTTAGAAACCGCGTATAAATAGGTCATATTTATATTTGACTTCTGCAGCACGTTCAGAAAGCAGGTTGTCCTTAAAAATTTTTTTGTCAAAGAACTCGGAGAGTTTGACCAATTTCTCTAAGTCCTCTCTCAACCCTTTGATGTTCAGATCATCCTCGCTTTATGTTTTCAGCCTTAGGGCGACGGGACACTCTACAGTGTGTTTTTATGTGTTTTGTACGTGGTCAGAGCACAGACTTCAGGAAATGTGAAGATTTCACACTGGTGACATTTGCAAGATTTGCAAGAATCTCCCGTGGTAAACTCGGTGCGTTTCGCGTAATACGGCTGATGTTTCCCTTAACCCCAAAGCAGGGAGTGAACAAGAAAAGCCCCTCGCACGTAACAGCTGCAACAGCTAACTGGTTTTTAGAGGCATCAAAGAGCAAAGAGACTCCTTCAGGCAATCAGAGATCGAGTCCTCGGCTCCCGAGGGACCCTCTGAGAGGGTGAAGGACACACGAGGGAGAGGCGCCCTGCACCCCGCTCTGGCCCTCTGACCATGTTTCGTGGCATGCTTGGTGTACCGGGCACCACCATTCTGCATCTGTGCTTTGCTTTGGAAGAGGCACTGAGAGATGGCGGGCAGAGTCCACGCCCACTGCCATCCTAACCCGGTGTCTCACAACTTCGCGAGCCAGCGGGTACAGGACGCCGGTGACAGGAGGAATAACTAACTGCTGACGTCTGCAGCACCAGGGGAGCCCGCTGATGAAGACTGATTGTTTCAAGACAGCCACGAGACAAGATCTTTGAATATTCCTCTCACAAAGAAACAGTCAATGCTTGAGGTGATAGATATCCCAGGTACCTGGATCTGATCACGACGCATTGCAGACATGTACTGAAGTGTCCCACGGCACCCCTCATATCTGTACAACTTCTAGCGACAATTAAAAATAAAAAATATATATTGAAAAGGAAAAAGAACTCCGGGTCTGGCAGGTGGTAGCAGAGAGAGGGAGCGGCAGTTATGTCTAAGGAAAATGTCCCTGGGCACCCTGGGAGATGGAGCTCAGGCTGACCCGCTTGCTCCTAGCTCCTGGTACCGGCTTCCCTATCTCTTCCCACAGTTTGAAAAAGGCATGTCACAGTTTTAACCCTGCCAGATTGCACAGTCTTGGGGTTTCCACATTTCTGTGATTCACATCTGTTTCCCAGAGGGAAGAAAGGTGACCTCCTTCCTCTAAGAGAAAAACGCAGAGAGGAAAAAGCTGCTCACAGAGGCCCAGGGCCTCAGGATGACCGCGTGTGGGACGCCCTTCCCTGAGCCCACGGTCGGTCCTGTGAAGTGCCCAGGAATTGGAAGCATATGGTGCGGCCTCCTCCTCCTCCACAGGCATGGGGATAGAAAAGCATTAAAAGGAAGAGGAGCTGGGGAAATGTGTTTCAGCTTTTGCAGAGCCTCAAACGCTTGAAAACAGTTCAAGATGTCGCCCTTGCAGCCCACCAATCACCATATATTTTCTTTTTCCAATTACAAAATACTTTGGGACCACCAGGGAGACATAGCCATGTGGGGAAGCCCCGACTTCAAAGTCTCTTCTCGAAGCTGAGGAGTCCGGTCAGGGCCGGGCAGGCTGTGATGCTCTGGCTCCGTGCCTGTGAGACTCCCCACGCGACACACACGGTGCTGGGCACCCCTGGCCGGGCGGCGTAGGGCGGCACACGGTGGTGCCTGTGTTTGTGAGGTCTTGGCGTGTCTCCCTCTCTCCGCATGAGCATCATGAGGTTTCTCTTGTGTCAGCCATGTCTCCGCTTTGTGGCAGCACAGGTTTAAGGCAGGGAAACCCGGGCCCGGCGCGGCCAAGCCTTTGGGTGCACCGAGTGGAGAAGGCTGCCTGCAAGCCATCGGGATCTGGCTCACCAGTGCGGGTGCCTTCCTCCCTGCCCTGCTCCAGCAGGCGCGCTGTGTGGACACAAAGGTCATCTCGTTCCTGTGCCCACACTCCCTCAGGCAGCGCTGAGCACCGAGAAGGGACCCCTCGCACGGCGATGAGTGGGGGACACACTTCACACAGCACTTGTGAAGACGGCTGCAGGCCCTCGTGGCTGGCACCGCAGCGAGGTGCTGTGGCTCTCGGGCAGGGATGGGCACACGGAGATGGAGAAGCAGGGGCAGGGGGCGCGGGGCAGCCCTCAGGCCCCCAACCAACACTGCCTGACCGAGTCTTTTGGGTACCGCCCGAAGTTTATCAGTCCCGACCGCCCCCCTCAAAGTTGAGGTCCATGAAGACAGAGCCCTAGGGTCTGTCTGGCCCC